CAAAAAATATACTAAACCAAGAGAAAAGGTAGCCAGCTAAAAACCTAGTCGCTTTTTTATACGTCTAACATCACGATCTTAATGAGGTCTCTAATGATTTTGTTGACTACTTCGACCTTACATGCTTGCAAATGAGTTAAGTTAACTTCCCGAACCGGAAGTGCATTCGGTGGCAGCTGTTTAATTACACAGAAAACTAGCGTACGATCGCCATATGCTGGATCATCTTTGAGCTTGTGATATTGTCTATTGTGTGTTTGTGATGCTCATGTCATGGGAAGTGTCATAGTCCTAGCTAGACTCGAGGCTAATCCAGCCTCCTTCTCTTGCTCAGTGGCTCTCTCTGCACCCCATCTCTCCATGCAACAGCCACAAATAGTTCCTACTTCGTTTTCCACACTCGTTTCTTCTATTCAGGACGCTGTTTGTTTTGTTAATTTCTATAGACTCCCCAATCTTACGCTTTGGCGTGAAGTCTCCGTAACCCGCAAATCGTTGTGTTTTGGGCCAGTCTATTGAGTGCCTTGTATTGACCATGTGTTCAACGAGCTCAGATTTTTGGACCCACAGGCCTTTACAAGCGGTTTTGTGTTCGCATAGTCTCTGGTGAATGAGTCTGCAGGTCTTCCCCACATATACCTTACCACCTGAGCACAAAAACTTGTGATAGCTTGATCTAGAAAGAGGGCCCGAATATTCTCTAAGCGAAGGAACTACGGAATAAAGTGTTAATTTCTCTCTATACATTGTTTTTATGTTCCATTTCATCAATAGTTCACCCAACTTTATCGCAAGCTGACAGGAAGGCAAAATCAGGAACTGAGTAGAATTGTCCAGTTGTCTATCCCGCATCTTATAGCAAACTCCTCTAATCGTGTTAACTACAATTTTTATGTAATTGTTTACTAATCCTAATGAGTAATTGTTTTGAAACAGTATATCCCTCAATGTACCAATCTACTGGTACCTCTGATTTGCATCTGCTGGACGCAGATTTCTTATTATCATAGACTTCATCAGTCCTATTTTTACTCTATATGTATGGTTCGAGAACTTCTTCGCACAATTCAATAGTCTTCCCTACGCGGCAATCCTCCTTCAGTTTCCGGTGAGACCACATCACGAATTTCTTCCAACTAACTTTCCCTTCAAAATGGAGGTTCATGTTACAATGTATTCAATGTATTTTATGTAAAGCGATAAAGTAATAATGGCTAATTTTTTCCACAATTATATGAATAGGCCCCAGGTTTCGAATAAATTTTGCATATCCTCGGTTACCAACAGACGGACAGCAATTTCTACTTTGACTAGGTTTCATCAGTATCCCCGATAGGAATCAAGCC